TATCGGCCAGTGGGGAAGAAGTGTTTCTGTTTCATATTTTGATTTATGTTTGTGTGGATGAACTAACCTTATTGGACGATTCTGTGTACAATGTAGCCAATAAAACTGTGTTATTCTATCTTCCGCCTGGGACATTTTTATGTGTGGGATAAAGGCCGACCTGTGACTGCAAGGACGCTTTATTTGAAAACCATATATATATATATATATTTATATATATATATATATATATATATATATATATATATATATATATATATACCTGTCTTTCGACATTCCTTTGACTCAGTGGAGAATAAGGTGCCGAGGAGGAATAGTCTTCTTGGCATTCAATTCTAGTGTACCACATCGTTTAGCATCGTTATTACCTACGTCTTATTCCAATCGGTCACTTTAATCATCCTTTTCCTAGCATAACTACATTAGCATTGAAGAGTGACTCACTATGCTGGGTGGTTGTTGGCCTCTGAATTTATAACAATGGCTAAATTCTTCTCTCGATAACTTAACTTGGCGAGGTGTATTATTCTGTTATTAACAAGGCTTATGCATTGGTAGCTTGATAAACTCGATTGGCTTGTTTGTCTTGAACACAACTCAACTTCACAAACTAATTTCTTTTGTTGCAGTGGGTCTTAAGAATCCTTCAGCCGACAATTTTTTGTCTGAGTGCATTTGTATATTTAAATGCTAATTCAGCCTCAGCGTAGTTAAGAATCCTATACAGCGTTTCTTATTTCCCTCCCTTGTGCGGTAAAAGTAAAAATAAAGTATTAAATATCAATGCAAATATAAACGACATTAACATCAAAGATAAGACAATATATTCTTTTGATGTAAACTATTCACCAACGTACCTTTAATCAAGACTGTTGATATACTTTGTGATTATATATCCCTGTGTCTTCCTTCATTCCTCCTCCTTACAAAATATTTGAAAAAGCTATTACTGCTATCCACCGATAAGGTTCACTTCTCTTTTGAAGGTGAACATTTTCAAGAAGTTGGTGGTGTCACCATGGGTTAGTTGATGGCTATATGTCACGTATAGAACTTTCGGCTGAGGATTTAATAAACATGGTCCATCTGCACAGGAGATACGTTGATGATATATAAGTTATATGTAACAAACACGAGAATGCCAAATATCTTCTGGATATACTTAACACCATACAGAGTGTCAATAATTTATCGTATGAAGTAGAAAATAATAATCAGCTTCATTTTCTTGACGTATTATCGGCTAGAAGGGAAGATGGCTCGATAAAATAAAAATAAAAATAAAAATGTTTAGAAAACCTATGGAGACCAGACAGTACCTTTCCAATACAGTACAAACGAGATTTAGTAAAATACTTATTCAAAAGGAACCAACGTATCTAAATTACAGATACACTGGAAGAAGAATTCAAATTTTTAACAGAGATACCCATGGAAAACACATATCCTCTGAGGTTGGTCATTCGTTATAAAAACATCTCAGGGGTGCGAACTAATCAGTATTCTGTCCCAAAGAAGGACGTCCACACCACCCTACCGTAAAAGAGAGAATCAAACAGCATTATCTTAAGACGAAGGCTTATTTGTTATTAAAAAGATACACTATGCAGCCAAGCTCAATACTGTTGAGAAAACGAAACCTGTACTTCAAAATAAACCTCATCACTACCTAAATGATTGCGTCAGATTCCGTTGTTTTTACCAATTTACATGTGTATGCAATGAAGCGTACATAGGTAGGAGTGATCGAACTATGAAGCCGGGGGTGGTGGAGTATATCCCTAAATGTCTAGAAAAATAATCACATTTAAATAATCCGTTAAGTATGGGAGACAGACAAACTTAATCTCCTAAAGGCAAACAGATTATAGAAACATGTCACAGGATTGACCCCAAAACAGCCTTTAGACAGTTGTATACTAGCCGTCCATTGAAGTCTTGGCTAAACGAAAGTTTACAGCTCCTTTGCGTATTCAAGAGTAATTTGTGCCTACCTTAAACCATCTTTGTTAATCTTTCTTTCATTTTAATGCCAAGGGAGGTGTGAGAATACATTGTTCCTATTTATTATCCCTATATTTTCCAGATTCTGTATTTTTCTAATTTATTTTGTATCACTCTATTTTCATCCTTCATATTAAATGTATTGACAAGTAAATGCGTGATCATATTGTTCGGAATGTATTGCGTGAATACATCATATTCCTCAGATAACTTCCACAATCTTATTACCTAATGCCAAAATATAACAGTTTTGCATTCTTTAATAGTCATGTTACAGTTAATGCTAATTTTTTCTTATGAAAGTGATAATCTGTAGGTCTTTTGCAGTATATACGTAATCGACGACGTTAGTGCTTTGCCACTTTCAGAATAGAATAGAACTGCTGGTATTTTTTTCATGATATTCATTCTGTCGTTCTACAAGTAGATAACCTTTGAAAAGCCTTAACTCGACTAATTTCCACTATCATACTTCATAAATAGGGAGAACAGTATGTACTTAGGGAAGTGCCTAACAAAATATTTACGATCATCTTCATATACTTTTCAGCAATGCACTCTCAAATCTTTGGTGAATTGACTGTTATCATTTATTCTTTGCTTACATGTAAAAATCTACGGCTCCTAAGAAGCCTACTTTCATGAGCTTACGGTTCAACGAAGACACATCAGCAGATATATCGAGAAACCGTCTGGTGTGCTCACTGATAAAAACTTTCTATGCTGCTACACTCCGATTAACATCCTCTACTAACTCAATGCTTCGGTTATACGTAAAAAATAAGCTATCTTCCTTAACCACCTCGATCTGTGTTTATCAATTCACTTGCTCCTGTGCAGAAAGGTATATTGGTCGTACTCAGCGTTCACTTTCCAAATGCGTTTCCAAACATATACCAGTCTAGTTTCACAAAGGAGAAAGAAGAACATTTTGCAGCTCTAATTTTAGAACATCTGATTGATTATGATCACCTGGTAAATGCAGAAAATAACCTCAGTTTAATCTATAGAGTTGGTACAAATCTCGTGAAACGTGTATGCCTAAAGCTTCTTCAAATTGCGACAATTAATATTTTAAAGCTTGGACTCTACGTTCAAAAGTAGTTTGTCCAGTCAACTGAATGGCAATGGGCGTAACCTACAAGAATATTTTTACCTTCAGAAATCTTTTTATTCAGATCTCACGCATTTTATTCCTCCACTCCTATAGTTCTGATTTCTCTTCACATTCATCAAATTGCAGCATTTAACTTAGTTACTAAATATTACTTCGGTCTTGATAAGTCTTCTTCTCATTCCTATTTATAATATCACATAATTTTTTTTTGTCCGATCTGACTTATAATCAAATATGAACTTCGTCTAAAATATTCAATGAAACATCCCTTTTGTGTTGCCATGTGGATAGATTGGGAATGATATAATTGAAGAGAGTGATTCTTCGCTTAACGTCTTTTGTGTCAGTCTTATTTCTCATGAAAAGCAGGAAATAACTGTTCCTGCAATTACAACAGATTTCCTGAAAATGAAGGCTTTTTCGAATGTTTTAAGGTCGTGATGCGATACATGAAATAGGAGAAAAAGAAATAAAAATCACTAGTTGTGATGAAATAACCCAAAATCAGTCACTTTTGCTTAGATTACTATGAAAAATATAGTCAGTCAACCTCAGATAAAAACTAATAAGTTGTTCTAACATAAATATCTTAACTTCAATCACTGAGGAATTTGCTTAGCTCCCAAATGAATCAGTGACTGGTCACTATCCATTCACCATAATCACGCTGTCGACCCAGCAAGGTTTTCCCGTCCATTCCGAATCCAGCTGAATTAGTGTGAGGTGGGTGGGTTAAGACCTGGTCAGTAGCTGGGTCTCGTTACTCAATGCGTAAAGCATCGGGCCGGTAACTCGCAGACTGCTATTTCAGATCATATCGCACCCAGGTTTTTATTTCAGCTGCAATCGTTAACCTGTATCAGTAATATCATTCAGTCAAACCACGGCTATCCTAAGTAGTCTCATTAACAATTAATACCTTAGTTGTGTAGTTCTTGAGAATTGTACATAATTTATAGCAAGTCACATTCGTGTTTCACAATAAATGAGAAGCAGTGACATAAAAGTATGTGGTCACTACTCTTAACCTCTCTTAACTGGGAGCTGAAAAAAGATTAAACCAATGACTTGTTATCAACTGGTATTTGATAAGGTCAACTGACTAAAGTGAAATAACTAGCTGGTATTAATTATTCGGAACAAAGTTATGACAGTTAAACAATCCTTTTTTATCAGAATGTTAACTTAATTACATTTGGTCGCCCTTCATTTGGAATTTCATGTCAAGAATTTCATTATCTGCTGATTGTGATCATTCTGGTTTCCCCTACATTTTAACACGGAAGTCTAAGGTTAATTTGACCAGAAATCAACCTAAAAACTTCCAAAACGATATAAAACTACTATTTCTGGAACTGATTTGGCAAATCCTATTTGGAATATCCGCTCTTACATTCCATTTCTAATACTTTTTTGTGATTGCGATAATGAAGAGTTTTCAAGAGGTAATCGTTATAGAAAATTTTAAAAAATCTTTTTGAGATGAATGGGGATTTTTAATTTAGAGGTAGTATTCATCATGGACTGACATAAGTTGGGGAACCACTGAAAACCTGGGAGCACTGGACAGTCGTTTCGTCCTAGTATGGGACTCCTCAGGAATATGCACCCACGACCCTATATCGTGAATTGACAGAAGTTGGAAATTGTGAACCACTGAAAACTGACACAGTGGCTGAGTGATTAACGCGATCGCCGTGAAACCTGGTGGTCCTGAGTTCGATCCCTAGACGAGTCGTTAGTGCTTACCGCTGAGGAGCCCCATACTAAGACGAAACAGCTGTCCAGTGCTCCCAGATTTTCAATGGCTCCCCAACTGATGTCAATCCATGATGAATAGTACCTCTAAAAATATATGTATAATTTAATGAATTCACAGGTAATATACAAGCGAAATTTGAATCAAGTTACATAAGCACTAAAGAACAAGTTAATTCATTAGAATTGGATCAATCAAAGTATTATTATCCACTGAATAACGAAGAAAATAGTCAGTCAAACTATTGGACAAAAAGACTTTTACAAGAAGATCAAAACATTAGTGACGTAAATAGAATTGAATTGACTGATAGCACAAAATCGAATGCATTCGCAATACAAATTTTTATTATGAAACCAGAGTATGAATCAAGGTAAGAAAAAGAAGAATTATTAAGAAAGGGTATTTTTCTACTGATTTTTACTGTTGGTTAAACTTCTGCATAACATTTGAACAAGAAGACAAAATTATGCGATTGACTGCATTTAATAATGACGTTGACAAATCGGATAAACCCAAATAAAGGGCACAAAATAAAGCAAATTGAAGGTTATTAGTGTTGCTAACATCTAGGTTTAATTGTAATTCCTATATGACTGGCTGCTTTTATCATGAAAATAGGCTGACACATATGAGTGATATAGGATCTAGTATATTAACCACACTTCATAAATTTCAGAAACAATAAGAGAAAAGAGTTTTAGAAAAAAGTAGTAGAATCAGCTATCAAAAAATATATTGAACAAAAGGTATTATCTACAGATACATAATAGTAAAACAACTGTAATGATTCAGATGAAAACATGCTATGGATGCATTCAAGTTAGTACTAGCTGTTAGTCCAAAATCCCCAGTAATAGGCCAAGAATATGATGTAAATTTCAGTCAAAGATTCTGATCTCTCCACACTACTTACGGTAATGATCGAGGACTGTAAATTCGATAAGAAGATTCTATGAACTACAGTGAATGATCAGAACGAGCTCACAATATTTAAGAAGTATCTTCGATGCACACGTATTAAGTAGTGACTACAATTATAATGCGGAAATTAATGAAAACTCTGTTTAGTTACATATAATTCTTAAGTGGATGGCAAATAATAAAAACCGACAAGGTGTTCAAAAGTTGAAGGGTAAAAATTGAATGACTGTGATCCGTAGTGATTATTTTATAAGCATACCATATAGCGAGTGTAAAGGTAGACTGTATGTCTCACAACAAAAGTCAGTGACATGATGAACTTGTTATAGTTTTATTCTATCTCGATATTGGTGTCCTCACATCTTAAGATACACGTAACGCTTGTTACATGTGATGCACTTTTCTGTCACCTAATTTATTGCACGTTCATGATGCTGATTAAAAAAATAGCTTGTTTATTTTGTACTGTGCAGATTAAGTTGTCAGCTCACTTTGAACATCCACAACTTGAGCTATAAATATTTGCCAGAGCTTTGGATTGTTGCTGAATTTAGTTCTTCCTATATTTTAAAGTTAAATACAGTAGAATGAGTATAATGTCCTCATATTCGTTACCGTAAGCAGCCGTGTCCATCAGATCTCAAACACGAGGAGAAGACTGCTGATAAAAATCTGTTGATAAAAATCTATAGAAACCATCGAACTAGAGTTACACACCTACTACCAGGCAGTGAGAAGGTATTTCTATGAATTCAGAAAATAGTCAGATTAACTTTAAGTCTCAAATGTGTTTTCTTGGATCGTATTTCACAACCTTAACAACAGAGTGTTCAAGCAGTGGAATTCCTGATGTATGCATAATTAGCTGACGAAAATTCATCCAGTACTGAGGACAATGAAACCAAGTTCACTTATATTAGGTTAATAAGTCATGTATTTGATTCTTATGTGTAAGTGATGAAATTGATGTTTCATAAATGCCCATTTAAAGTAAACGTATTGCACCTTCAGATACATACCCCAAGAACTTTCAAGTAAGAACAGTTGGTACTCAGTAGCTATGTCAGTTACCATCCAGTGACCACTTGTGTACTATGGGCAGTCATTAATGCCGTCGATAGTTTGGTTTTGAAGGTCTGACTTTAGCATTAAGTGATAAGAGTTTGAACTACCAACGGACCATCAGTTTTCTTGAAGTCACAAACTTACTTTAGTGATGAGTGAAAGAGGGTTTCTTCCAACTACTGGTATTTAACCTACTTAAGACATTTTAAAATTTTCATTTTTCACACTAGAATAATAACTCTTACCTTACTTCATTTTTAACATTCTTTTTCTTTCAACCTGTTAGATTTATGGATATGTTACCACTACTGTTTCACCAGTTTCCTGATTTAGATTATGCTGTAATCTCTGTTCCTAGATTAGTCGCATGTTTTCCAATGTTAAAAAGTTTTGTGGTAAGTGTCAGAATCTGCTTAACTTTTAAAGCTTAACGAAAGAAATGTAATGCACATTGGTTTTCGAAATATGTATAAGTCATCTGTACTAACTATGATAGCCTTAAAATAACATTTGAATATGGTTATCTCAGTATTTAGTTTGCAGAGCTAAAGCAGCTAGTTTCTAAGATGCTGAAATCTTTGCGTTTGCATCGCATTGTAACCTGATTATTACAATGGATGTTGCTTAAGTATTAGAAAAATTTGGTCGGAATTGAGAGCTGTAAATATTTTTTATTTGGTCAATCAAAAAAGTATTCTGTTTAGTTAAACACCTTCAAGATGATTTCTAACTCAAAGTTACCTTCTTAACGCGGTAAGGCCTTATTTTCTCATGAAATGAATGAAAAGCAACAGAAATACTTTAAAGGAAACAGAGAAATCAGCAGAAATAGGTCAAGTAAATTTTCAGGGATGTCTCCTAACAAAGAATATTTTGCCAACGGATTACCTATGTGAAAAGGATCATTTCAGATGTTGTCGTTCTTAGATAGTTTCAGACTGTACTTTGACAATTAATTTAATCTTTCATACATTAAAATTTACAATTTTTTTCATGTTAACTTTACGCCATAGTTAACTTCTCATTTTTCCACTATTTGTTTGACTTTATTTCGTTAATATTGAACGCTTCACTTAGTATATTATTATTTCCAGCTTTAGGATAGGTTTAAAGCACTTATATATCAACAGCTGTTCTGCATCATTCCCACTTTTATCGTGGTGATGAATTCCACCTTAAGTCTCAAGTTTTATTCTTCTCGTTAACGCGTTCATTCAGAGTGCCGAAGTTAATGGTGGATATAACACTACATTGACAGCTTTAGCACGTGCTTGTATCATTTTGTAAGATACTATAATTTACTATTAACATGTGAGATTTCATCGATGATTTTGTGGCAGTTTATTGCATTGAACTGTTTCCTTCAATATTTAACCAACTTGAATACATAATCGCATAAAATGAAGCTAAGTATTTACGTTATAAACATAAAGAATAATGCGAACTTGTTAGTTTGCAAGGAGTAATATAGGCTTCTAAAGCTCAAGCAACCTTGTTTTATAAAGTTAAACAAAAGATATAATAATGAAACTAGATCACCACACTCAATATCTACATTCTATAGCAAGTTAAGGCTGTCTAGATATTCTATTTCTGATGGGTTTTTCTACATTTAAAGGAATTTATCTCCTGGTTAGAGACCTCCCAGTAGAATTAAAGTACATAGGGAACTTAGTTTCTTCATCTGAAAATGCAGGTTAACAAGATGAAAAGTCAACTGAATACCCTAAGCAACAAGTGAAGAATGTTTGAGAGGTGCTTCTCGAACCTCATCAGTATTCAAGTAGTTGCCACAGGACTAGCCAATGTTGATATCTCGTATGACAATAATAAGTGGTGATTGAATTCTCTCTCCACTTTAGTCACTGTGCAACCTGAATCAGCCCTAATAGTCGAGTGATGACAGAATCTCCGCGTAGTTACAAAAGTAGATCAACTTTCGAGAAAACACGACACTTGTGGTGCTATTGATTGAATTCTAAGAATCTAATTCATTGCTTGACATTTTGCACTGTTCTACCGTCATGAGGGTGTGAAAACGACAATATCTGTCGGTGGTTGACTGTCGTTACCTTTGTAGCATTGTCACGTGTCGCGGGATCACTATTTGAGTAATACTGAGATTAGATGTGAACTTACAGGTGCATCAAGTAAGTCAGATGGTGAGGGTGTGGAGTTTTGCTGACTACGTTGTCTGCGACATATATTATGCATAGCTAATCATTGGTTGTCTAGATGCGCTATACTAGTTGAGAAACGGTTGGGTTGAAAAAATTGGATTTGGGGGTTTGTAGACATCTGTTTCGTCCTATTACGGGATCCCTTAGCAGTGCATGCTTGCTACGGAACCTGAAGGTCCCGTGTCTGATCGCTAGCGGAGTCATACGTCTACACTGCTGAAGAGGAAACAGCTGTCCAGTGCTTCCGTGTTTCTAACTTTTCTCCAAATGACATCAGTCCATGAATAATTCCAAGCTGCAAAAGAATGTTAAGTGCGACTAGATAAAAGTAGCATTAGTCCACGAAGTTTCTGACTACTGATGAGACGATTTGAGATGGTCATCGAAGTGCGCTGTTGATACGAGTTAATAACCGAAGGTGAAATGAAGGGTTGTGTCATGAGAATAGTCATACGATAGGTCCCTGGATTACAAATCTCTAAGTCTACAAGGTGAAATATGAAATACAGTTTCTGATCTCATCAGATTCCATATAATTTCCTAGCTGATATCAATTTAAGCTTGAGTGGCTAGGTTTCAAAAGTGGTCAGGGGTGGCTAGCCAATTTTTAACTGAATCCTACCACAGTGACTGCCATCTTCTAAATGCTCACCATGAACAACATGAAACCTTAGGATGGATGACGTGAATTTGATATTCATTTTAAAACTGCCTTCACCTCCGCCTTACTGTCTTCTAAACTTTGAATATTTTATTACTCTAAATCAATCCTTTTCTTATTCATTGACATTATCAGCCTAATATACCTAATCTTTTATCTACTTCTTTCTGGGATTTTGTGCATCGTGAAAATAGCAATTATCTACATTTGTAAGCAATTCTACTGTCTTCGGTATTGCAATCATAAATACTGATTCCCAACTGGTAGTACCTTGTTTTACACTTGTTTAACATTTAAATTTGATAGGTAAATATTTAGCTGCGTCAGAAATCAACTGTCTGGTTCACTAAGTGCTTCACAATGCTTCGTTAGATCTAAGGACTTTAATGCCACATCGCTAGTGACTGGTATTAACATCTAACGTGCAGAGCTTTTGTCACAGTATATAAATACCTATTATTCATGCTCTTTTTCATTATTCAGCATTGTAGAGTCAGACGAAATAAAGATCCTGATCATGAACTATACGTATTTCATCGTTCTGAGCTTCACAGGTAGGTTCATTAATTCTGAGAATTCCACACTTTAATTTCAGAAAGTTCATTCATTGAAAATTTACAATCTAAAGTTGTGCCATCAACTCTGTAGAGAAGTTTCACGAACATTAAGTTTTTCTCCTTAAGCCTAAAACTTATAGATTTTGGTTTCCTCCTGTTGTTTCTTTACAACTACTCATATCTGCGGTTTTGAGGAGATTTCTGCAGTCAGACCTCCGTTTTTCCGAGCTATTGCAAAGATATTAAAACCATCACTGGATAACGTGACTTTTTCTACCCATCATTTGGTGAAATTGCCTCTTAATTCAGGGATTTTTCTTCACCTCAGTTTCAAGTACTCCTTTTTCCATATGGCTAACTTCATTCTATGCGTCTGATGGAAAAGTTATTTCTAGCAGACCTCAGAGTTCGTAATAAACATGAACGATAAAATCACTATATATAGCTGCGTTAAACGACAACAATCTAATGTCTCTGACTGGACTCGTTGTTCTTTTCAAACCAAACGTTATAATTATGGTGCTTGTATGATCTTAGAATCAAATGAATAGAAGTTTTGAACTGGCATTTAAATAGGAGAAGCCTAATTATGAATTTTATCTTCTTTACAAGTAAATAACACTGTGTTTGCCGTATTAAATCTAACTCTGATACAATATTCAAGTTTTACACTTATATTAGCCAAATTACAACACCTACTTACAGTTTACATGAATTTATGATTCTATGAATTTTAAGAGCTCCATAAGTCTGAATGCCAGACCAAGATGATACTCAGGGCTTTAGTCCAGCAGCCTACTAGATTGTGATTCGACTTCACTCATTATGCCCATATATAAAAATGAGCTTGTTGACTAGTAGTTTATTCAACTTCACAATTCGTGAGAAATTTTCCCCCACTTCAAGGAAGACAAAGCAGATTTTTAATCCTGTCTGTTCTAAGTTATAAAAATATGTCTATTGAAGTGATTTTTTCATGAAACAAACTTATTTTTTAATTATTCTTAATATTATTATTGATTACTACTGTAGAGACTTCATCATAAGGCGTACACGTCACTCTGACGTAGAAGCCATTAAAGTGTTAGTCAGTAATATGAATAAACTGGATCGTTCTTTACTCCTGGCTGACTTACATGCATTCATAAGCAGTGGTAGAGATGAAGTAAGTCGCTTTTTAGGAAAATTAAGCAAAATTACCCTTAGTTCTTTTGATTATTTAATTAAAGTGAAGAAAAAGTGGAGAATTTTTGTAGTAAATGCAATCTTTGACAGCATTCAGTTTTTCATGTTTATGCTATCGGTGAACTCACAGACTAAGGTAAATATTTTACGTTCTGTGTCAGTGTATTATAGGATTGTCTTCCCTAGACGAAACTTGATTAGATCAAAAGTGAAGAGCTCGAAGATCAGACAGAATCAGATCTTCACTAATAAGTGAGTCAATTATAGATGAGAGAATGAAGTAACAGCCTAATCTATATACCAGCTTGGACATTTTCAGACTGCACAAATACAGAAATGCTACTGATAAGCAAAACATGAGTTGTACGCATGTACTATTATATTGTCTACATAACTCCATAAAGGGCTTTAGAAATTAATTTTTAGATATTTGTATTTTGGTAGAAATTTCTATTACGCTAATTTTCCTCTAAATTTTCAACGCATGCATCATTGGTAAGATGGTTGTAAGTCATAACTGAAGTTGTAATATTGGCTGTGTACATTCACTTATATGTGCCACCAGAAGAGTAAAGAATATTCTCACAGTTCGCGTTAAATGAAACAAAACTAAGAACTTAAGACAATTCCATAAATTTGTTTAAAGTCTTGTTTTCATTTTTATTTGATCCTATTGAACAGACTTAAAAATTGAGCCTTGCACTTTGCGTTGGGTGTTCTAAGATAACAGGAAGAGAAACTTCGAACACAGAACATATCCTAAAAATGCATCAATCCAATTTGGTGACTGTCACAATGAAAAAGAGAACCAAAATGTGGAGATACTGAAACTAGTGAAACGCGCAACGCCAAAACAAAAGCCTCGTAAAATTCTGTCGAAGGCTTTCATAACAGGCTTTTGATAACACTTTTTGAAAAGAATGGTAGAACTTGAGACTGCAAAACATATATATATATATATATCCACTCCCTGTCATTATTTTTATTATCCCTAAAACAAATGATTTATCTACTCCTTCACTTTCAGATCTGAACAATAACAGTTGTTCACTTATTTTTTTCGGTAAAAAGGAAACCTGTGTTAGTCAGATCAAGTTTCATGTTTTTTTATCCCTTCCTTCACTAGTTTCATGATATTCTAATACGTTGGACTACCTTCTTCTTTACTACCGCGTCTTTCATCTTGCTGCCTTCTACCTTGATGGGCTAATGTAAGGTACTGGTAGCTTGAACTGTTAGGTAGAAATGTCAGGTAGTATAATAATGGGACATAATAAGAAGCAAATTTTGAGGAGGCGCTCCGTAAAAAGCTCTTAAAAAGTACTATGAAAGGCCAGATATTCGGAGATAGTGAAGAGCTCACGAATATTTTTATGGATTTTCCTTCTCTCACCTCTGGATAACCGAAGGACTTCGACTACTCCATCTATGCATAATCAAATCATTAAAAGAAGATATCTGTTTTTTCTTCGCATAATGAGAGAGGACCACCACAAGCATTCTGTTTACAAGCATGAGTCAACAGAAGGTTATGAATACCAACTGCTAACTGCTCAGTACTAATCGAATTCTATCACTCAAAATTGCAGTGTGATCAGCTGGTATGCTTTAATCAGTGTTAAGCAATTACGACTTCTCTACTAAACAGGTTACCACTTAAAGATTGCTTCATGTTCAGATCCAACTAAACAGATGATCGGACGAGATTCAAAAAACTTAGTGGTAAGGTCTCTCACTTCAGATTCTAATCTGTAAGAAAACAAGTTTTTCAATAAATTCAGTAGGCATGTTACCCGAATGAAGAAGACCATCCCACCAACTCACTTTTGCTATTTTTTAATGATTACATTTGTTGATTTTTGTGTGAACTGAAACTTTATCTCACACAGAAAAATTAAAATGAACCTCTAATTTATTTTTTTACCTTGGTAATAAGGACGGGACAATAATTTTATGTTATGTTGCCGTTGTTCTTGATAAAGTGGTCGGTGTGGCAATTTTACGCGGCGAAAATGTAAGCTATTTGTTCTTCTTACCTGATACATTTTTAAAATTCCTATATACCCTATGAATACACAATAATGATTTTGGGCAAAGATAAGTCGTATAACCGTTCATTTAGCTTTCAGAATAAGCAGTATACTATTATAGTTCATTAATTTTCAGAATAATGACAGCTGGCCACTAGAATTTATGTGGAACTATCACTTTATAATTCTTAAACTATACTGTTACACATCAATGCTGTGTCTAGCGTTTTTTTATCAGTCTGTTTTACTCACTTGTGAATAAAATTTTATAAGAAAGGGAGACATCAAATAAAGTAAACCGCCAATACTACTTGCTTCCTATAAATCCCACTTCAATACGTTTTTACTAACAAAGACAGTATAATGAGTCAATACACTAAACTGTAACAAATCCTGAATTTGTTAGGCTGCTTCAGAAGCCTATATTTGAAGAAAATACGTGTCTAGAGAAAATGATTTTTGTGTCAGATCTTAAGGTAAACGTGTTATGTAACTACTAGCGTTATCTGTTGAGGTTGGTGCAGAGAGGTTGCCAAGTAGATAGAAGGCAAGTGACTAGGCCATCCAGACAAGACTTCAAAAAGTACACTAATACTTCAGAATTTGTTAACCTGTTCAGGTTGTAATTAACCTGAGAATACAGATAAAGCAAAAATCTATACTTAATGACAGAAAAGAGGAGTATTTCTAATAAATGTTCATTAAATTTGTATTTCGTGGGGACTGATTAGTTTTGAAGTAGTTTTCATCGTAGATTAAAACTAGTTGAAGGATTATTGAAAACCTGTAAGCACCAAACAGCTGTCGCTTCTTAGTTTGGAACTCCCTAGCGTTGCTTCCCCTTCATCGTGCTATGGATCTGTTCTTTTACCCTCCGGTCTTACATTAAACACTGGATTAGAACTCAGTGGTTTAGTATCTTCTAATTCTGTCAAATGCGATACAGTACAACAATCATCCAATTTTATGAGGTGAAAGTTACCTTGAAATATACATTATGCAAGTTGTTAGGATGAAATAATGAGTAGTGTTTGACATACCTTCGATTTTGGGGTAGTAGTAAAGATCGAAGTGAAATACTTTCTTATCTTTAAGTTATTGTAAAGTCTAATTATTCATAAAGTAGATTTTTTTATGTTTACACATACTTTATTTCCACCATGTTGTAGCATATTGAATGGCTTCGAGCTCATTACAATATTGATGACTTTATCTACTATACACATTATGCTCGAAATGAACATGTGTCTTTATATCACTTTCTGTTGGCCGCTAATTTTCACTCGCGAACATCAATGTTTCTTCGTGAAATCTTACGTCAATCTAAAAAGGCATGTATTTATTATCGTGTTCTTCCACCATATGCATCTGAATCCGTAAGTGTGAGATTGTAAAACATGATAATTTAATAGATTTAAAAGTTTTTTAGTTTTTCACAACTAAATTAAAGCATTTTATCATCGTATCATCATACTGGCGATTTGTGTCTATTTGTTATGCACCACTAACCATACAGTTTTTCTTTTTAAACAAGGATAGGAGGCTTAGTTTGATAAACATTATATGTTTATGGGTTATTATAAATGTATTTTATTACTGTATTATTTTGGTTGAAATTACAGGGACCAAACAACCCACAAGTTTCTTTGAGTGAAAAAATTGATAAATTTTTCTTTGATCATGCTTTAGGAGAAGGTAAAAATTATTCCTTTCTGTGTAGACAATTTTGTCAGGCAAGGAATATTTTGATTTCGCGAGAGATGTTCATTGTTACCACTTCTCTTTAACTTCATCAGAGATATACTAATGGATATAACCTTAGGTACACCTAACCTAGTCCATAGAGATCATCTGGTTGGTGTATTTACTCATTCACATCTCCTAAAGCTTGAATATTCACACAAACCCTTATCTTCAGATTTTATATTCTCTTACACAACTTTATGTACTCTGATATTACTTTTTCTATCCACCTGTTCTTTGTGTACTTCTGTGAGATGTCATACCTTGAACCGGTGCACCTGTGCTTAATATTCTACGTTTATTTTCTCAGTCAAATACATGAGAATAGGTGAAATATGATAACCACAGTGAGGTATAATATAAAATTATTTCAAAACAGAAACAGTTAGTGTAATGGGCGAACGAAGATCAAAGAGGCATAATCGAAGCCATAGGAATGAACATGAAATAGCCTGATCTATGTATTCGAAATAAATAAATGCATCTACTCCATCCGCCTTAGCTTATGATACGGTCAACATGTTTATGAACTTTACTACGACAAACTTACCGTTTTAACCTCCCATCCTACTGCATGTCATTCTCTTGCGTTGTCTCTCTCATCCCATTGAAAATCATTTGTTTACTTATATTATTACTTCTGTACCCGAGTTTATCCATACTATTGTCAGGAGTCATTTTCAGCCCTTACGTAACATAATTCACTGAGTGGTGGTTAACAGTGGGATCAGCTACCTACGTTACTTCCTGTTTGAGTTTCGTCAGCTGGATTTACATGCACCTGGGTGATTGATCGTGTTCATACTGAGCCTTGGACTCAGTACCCGTTGCTTCAAGCACCAAAGCCCTATCCATTAGGCCAATGAGGTATGAGAGCCCATCCTTCTACAACGAGTATTAGATATTAAGTAATACTTCAGATTTTTATTTTTTATTTCGTTAGCGTTCAAATGATCTTACTTTGGTCATTATATTTCGTATATTCTCGTAGATTTAAAACTGTAAAACCTGGAAAGGAGGTTACTGAAAACAATTATTCTTATTCGGAATAATGTATGGAGATCTTTAAATTACTATCGGTCAATCGATTTTGTATAAAAAAAAACCGACAAGGAATTATTACAGGCCATGAAAGCAATTGTATGTGAAATGTTATATAATTGTTGAGAAAAAGGAGGGAAGTTGGTAGAACAGATGATGTAGTTTATAACACCAAATGGCATGATATGTCTCATAAAAGAAGCCCATTAGTGCAACTTTTACAATTTATTTCACTAGATTATTTACATTTAGCTAATTAGCATTTGGAAGTACATTTAGATGACTTGCATATTGAGAAAATACCCTATAAACGTAAACTTCTTTTACATCCTTACTTTAGACGCTTATTCTGAAGCAAAATGTTATTTGAAGGTTCTTGACACTTTTTTATACCGGCCTATTTGGCTTTTCTTTCAAAAATGGGAATTCAGGTTAATTTTAAACGTATACTGATTGTAGAATGAAGTATCATCTATACGCCGGTCGTTTTAAGTAGCAAATTTTACCAACTAACAACATTTCAATAGAATCTATACTTTTTACTGTGAATTAGAGGATGAGTACAGCTGTGGATATTGTTTAGATAAATTTATAAAGTAAGCTAAGAGTAATCGCTCAGTAGAAAGTTTATCTAGGACTGCCTAACCGAATTTCGATACCAGCTAAAGTATGATTAGGCTGTAAAATGTCTTCGATGTGTGGATAGAACTATGGCAACAAACCAGCTCAAGATCAATCACAATAACGTAGGTGCATTTTACTCTTCGTCCTGAACAAAATCTTGACTGGTTTCTAATACTTCATTTATCTATCGTTTATTTTCATCCTTCTGGTGAACTTATTCTTTAAGCTGTAGCATCAATTGATTTGCATTTGGGAGAGTACTTATGTTGTATTTACCTACCCAGCTTTTCTAATGTGACACAAATAATACGTCAAAGTAAAAGTTGGATGAACATTATTCATTCATTCTGTCTATTGGATTCTTCCCTTACTATCACTACTGTTTGTAATTTGTTTTTATTTGTAGTTCCTCCGTCCGTGTATCTGCAATAAATCGTGTGATATAGAACCATATATATATATGCAGTATTCAGATGGAAAATACTGAACATATTTATTCATTGAAAGCAACTTTCTTTACAATTCTGGTTTGTTTTAAAAGCGTTAGAACGTGTTTAATTGATTATTGAGCATAAAAATTTCATTCTACACTTTTCCTTTATTTTAGGCCTTCAGTAAATCAACACTGGCAACTTGCCTATCAGTATTATGTCCTGTTAGGCCAAGAAAACAGATTATTTATCCGAAATCATTATTAGATGATAATAAAGCACCAGAGAAAAGAGTCCTAGAAAAATTTGACTCAATGCCAGCCTTATTTATGACAACATCAAAATTGTTAATGGAGCCAAGAGAAGTTATAAATGCCAGAATTATTGTCGTTGGTGCATCAACAGCAGGTCTGGCAGTTCTTGAAACACTAGCCACTTGGTAAGATAGATTTCAGCTTCAAAATTAGATACGGTCACGATAAAACGATGAATCATTTTCTATATTCTATTTAGTACGATAAATAAACTACATTACATCTAAGTATATATTGGTATATCGGTACTCATTGGTTCTTCTTGAAGGTTAAATGCTTTAAGATTTTCTATGGAGGTGCAGCTGAATGCAGTTCATGATACATACCAACTAAAAAGTAAGGAGGAAGCCATTTTGGGCTCTCCTGCATTTGCAATTTTTGTCAAACATTTCATACATTTTGTCCTCACGATAAGTTAAAAAAAAGCAAAAATAAACGGGTTTGCCGAGCAAAATGATGCCATTATATTTCACGGATTTTCATCAGCTGAATGAAAAGTAGATTATATATCTTAGTCAAGATAAACTATGGTGTATATGGAATGAGATCGATAATTCTAGATTTATAAAAACGCAAGAAAGATTGAGCGAAGAAATATTTCTTTTCAGTAGGACCTTCGTCAACGGCTCTACACAAATATATACGCCTTACATTTAATTACGTGACATCATTTAATGGTGGTAGGTTAATTAACTTTACATAATTACAAACTGATAGTTGGTTACTTACAATGCTAAACGTTGAAGAAATGAAGTTTCAAATTGGTAAATACGGTAATTACATAAGATTGTTAGGAGTATCGGATTAAACTAAACAGGTTATCAGTTCCCTGATGAAATAAAAACATATGAAACCTGAAAAACCAAAACAACTTTGGGTGAGGCAAATATGCCAAGAGAATTGAGTGATGATAGGGAGAGGGAAACTAAAGAAGTTAGGTAATGTGAGATGAGGAGATGGAGTCCTTCACCAACAAACTATAGTTCATAAGATAAAAGCTGAAGTAAAGTGAAGTCAGCGTTAACTTACTGTGATGGAGAAAATGATGACAGACGTTATAAAAATTTATTCCGAATACAAAGATTTGGTGTGTGGACGGGAATGGCAACAGCTTCTGCAATTTGTAGTCAGCCAATTTGTAGACCATGGCAAAGACTCAGTGGTATGCGATAAACATCTGCAAAGGCCTATCTCCTACTCACTTTATAACCAATATCTATCAAATGTCAAATTATTGGGTCTTTCATTGTTTTTATTTGTCTTTTACTCAACCATGCTGGATTTTGTCCACGTATTCTAGGGTGGACTTGCTTATTTGTACGTCCTATGTAAGAAACTTTATCGGAGCAGTTAAACTAATAAATACATATACAACACGTAAAATTAGGAAGTCTATCTTGATACCTTATGCCTATAATTGGCCGATTGCAGGAAATGGAATGTTCGCTGAAAAGCACTTCCCAAACGTTACGTTATAATATTGGTAACAATATAGCTTTTGAATTCAGTTTTCAAGTAAACAGATTTCTTAGAGACTGTAGTCATCTTTGGTTTAACTTTTGCTTCTTTTCTGTGCTTGGCAACGAATTTGTCAGTACATCCATATTCAGTAAGCAGGATAAATGTGATGTCAAGCTCCTCTTCTATAGTGTTACCAGAGTAAATGATTTTTCGAAGATGAACTAAGAATTAAATCAGGTTCTGTTTATATCTAAAGGCAACAGAGCCACAAAAGTGAGTGTACTCGTCAGCCGATGTTGATTTTCTATCAAGGAATTGATAACCTATTTTATTTTATCTCACCCATAAATCTCATTTAATTACTGAATTCATCATTTGGTATCTTCATTTCTCCAGCTGTTACCCTCATTAGTAACTATTAAGTTACAATTATTTTGATTGATTAACCCGCCAGCACTAAGTGGTATAATGTAATTGAATTTAAAACCTGGAGAGCTGTTGTAGAGCCGTTGACGAAGACCTGACTGAAAAAAACATTTCTCCACTGAATCTCTCTCTTGTTTTAAATGTCTGAATGAAAATTTTTAACGCATGGAAATGTTAAACAAGCGAAGATTCAAGGGATGGGTGTTATCAAACGATTCACGAATCGCACAAGACGAAAGATAATCGCATAACATCAAAATACATCTGAATAAAACCCAGTAGATGGCAACGAAGATATACTGTAACCAGATTGGCATAAAATTACCAGTGTAAAGACAGATTAATCATAGTTTGTTATTGCATACAAACAAGTCTGTGTGCTTTGACTTTAGAAAAGCCTTTTGAACTTACCAATTTTTGCTTATTTGTTATCCTGTGGGTTTCAATGACATCGATGTAACGTTTAGTTTTCATCAGGTGTCTTGCTGTTGTCTTTGTGAAAATTTTACTACCTTTGAAACACAAAGTTCTTATGATATGCTAGTAAAATCTAATGGATACTCTTCTTTCAGTTCTTTTTATATGCTTGTTTCCATAGGTACATGTAATTATTCGTGGGCTTATTTTATTCCTCAGTTAATTAGTAAATCCATTCCCTGCAATCTTTGCTTGTTTGATAGGATTTTTAGAAATCCAGAATCATCGATCTCATTACATATAAATTATCATACATCTTGACAAAGGTATGTAATCTAATGACATATTCATTATATACAAACGTAACTGTACTGTCTGCACTACAAATATCATGTCAACTTCCACCACCGAACATAAATTTCCTCTAAGTATCGTAATCACCAAGAAGACTACAATTCCATGCGCTACAACTCAAAATTGTGACTTCTTGAATTCAATTAACAGGTTTATGGAGAAGTTTTTTTATTCGATAGCAGTTCGCAGTATACAGCATCATTATGATAACCAGGGAACTTTTATTTTGTGTAAGACATTACCCAACAGTCATAGCCAAAATCAAAACAGCTATTCAGTGACTTTTGCTTTCAGAGGCAATTTAGCTGGTCTCAATAATTTGTGACAAAATCTTTGAACTGCTTGTGTTATTGACATTTATTGTTCTAACAAAAAGATATCTTTCGTTACTTGAATCTTTTTAACAATTAATAATGGTTCATGAATAAGAGTACGAAAAACAACACATATTCTACAGTATACATAAACACGTACACTTTGTCCTACATTTTCGTTAACAAATGATAATAACAAGTGCAAACCTGTAATGACTGATCTCTGTTACTCAGGCTAGACAAAAAACAAGCTAACAATTACCTACAGCCACTGAATATTTGATTCATTAGTTGATTATATATTTTGGTGTTATTAAAAAACCTAGTATTCTGCTTAAGAAGCTATGGCTTACATAGAGAAACGTTCAGAAAACTCTTGTTTCGATTTTCTATACACGCTAGGACTACATTGAAATATTTTCTTATAATGACTTTATCAGACTCGACACGCAATTTCTTCCAGGATATTAGTTTCAGATTTAGACAGTGATTCTTTGATTTTTAATAAGATTCTAGGCATCCAGACCATAGTTGTTACAAGCATTCTGGAAGAAGTTGAGCGCCGAAAGAAACTTTCAGAAATATCTTATTTTTATTTTCTTAATACTCTGAGACGTTTTTAATATATTCTCTTAAACTGATCGTCTAAAACCATTTATTTTAATTAGCTTCATTCTTGACAGGATTTATTTCAAGTGTAAATTTACATATGTGATGCATTCTGGGGTACCATTTCAACCCACTCTACGCAATTTTTATCAAGGTCTTTGATGAGAATACTGATCATGATGTAGGACTGCATTTTGAATCTTAACACTACATATTTTCCAGTTCATTTTGTTTGACTACATAGCAATAAATAACACTGATTTATGTTCTTACTTTTAGCCCATATATTCGATTCAATAATCTAGTACTGTTATCTCCACATGGTTTACCGGGAGATAATTTGGAAAGAATAGACCCTCTTGCTTACAAGTTCCTGCCTACAGAGTAAGTTACTTTGTCCACTTATGATCCATTTCGATGAAATGTTAGTTAACAAATCACTCTACTTAATAAATTTTCAGTAGTATAATTAAGTTTACTCAAAATTCATCAGACATTTACAATAAAAGGAAGTAGATCATTCCCTATGACAGCTTAACATCTCCGTCTAATTATCAAGACCTTGTCAATGTCGATATGACAATTCGATGTGACACAAGGTGTTGTTTTTTAATGATAAAAGAAGTTGCAGTAACTCAAGCTTTCCTTCAGTTCCAATCATCATTGCAGTACACTGGGATTAGCCTATTAAGTAAGGTTATATTTGATAGTCTAATAAACATATTCAGTTCACTTAGGAAAATGGGCGACTTTTCTAGTTAAACTCTTGGCACGTTTTTACGTTCTGATAATTCTTTTTCTGCAACTCATATGGAATTTTACGCTGAAACTAAATAAACAGAAGCCTATTTTATCTATGGTATTGTGTGAGTGAAATTACTCAGATGATTTCCAGAATAATGGGTAAGTGAAGTCGATATCTTGCTCACTAGTTAATACAGTGAGTTCCGTATGACTGAACTTTTACTCTACCAAACACTAAACAACCACATATATACATTCAGTCAATAATCAAGACTGATTAGTGGAAGAAACTGTCGTTTATATACATAGGTAATGATCAAGATTGAATAATTATGATTCGACCTTCATATAATGAAAACTGAATCAAGGATAATAAGAATGTTAGTAACCAACCAAAAATACCCTCCTTGTAGATGTAAGTAAGACTTCAGTTTTATCTGCTCTAACAAAGTTATCCCACACTAGAATTCCCTTTCATCTTATCAATATATGATGAAACTGTAAGTTTACAGATGAAACTATGATATTATGTAATAATTCACTTTGAGAGAAATTATTTGCTGTTTTCTTAATTTGCAATTTAGCCATGCTTATTCTGTTGATTATCTCAGTCAACTTGGATTGAAAGTATGCGTCAATGTAGTTTATGGTAAACTTACTGCTATTGATAGGTAAGTTATAATTCCAACTATCTGCTGAGATGTTCTAAAATAATAATAATAAATAATAAATAAAATAAATAAATAATTTTAGCACATAATATTATAGAAATAAGGGAAAATAGAGTTAACACTTATTACTTATTATGCTCGACTTTCAAAGCAACAGTATTTACCTCCAAAATCTATTCCACCAAGTAGGACATTTTATTAACCCCACGGAAACAGATTTGTGTGGCTCATAATCTAATATATGAAAAATTATATGATCGCTGAGTTATTCTATTGTCAATATTATTTAGAATATGACTCACTGAGTACTAAATTTGATTCGGATGCTTCCTTTCAGATGTTGTCTAATTTGTGCGTTCAAGATGTACTTTACATGATTTTTTCTTGTCCTATCCAAGTAAAGTAATCAACTAGTCGAGAAAATGATATTCTTGATAATCTAGTAGTTTATTTGTGATTTTTGCAAGTGTGGTGTGTATGGCAGTGTGGGTAGCTTTACACTAGAATGAGTATCCGGAGATGATACTTCAGCTCATATTTTTATATCACTAACATACTACAGTCAAATAGTAGCTGTATTACAAGTCTGTCAACATTGGTTTTAGAAAGCCAAACTTTTAGCTATGTGACTGGGCATACATTATCCTAGCTAAATAATCCAACAAAACCACGACATTTTCACTGTTGATGGGGCTTGGAAAACGTAAAATAAATACTAAGAAAAGACTAATTATCCAAGGCTGACGGTGAGATTAGCAAGTAGCCAGTGTACTCTTACCTATAGATTTAGGACTACATTATCACCTACTGTAAAAAGTGGCTTAGATGACTCATAGATTACTTCACCAGTTTTTATTTGTTCATATCTAAAATACACTAGATAATATTTTCAATTAGTCAGTGAGTAGTCAAGACTCATAAAAATTCAGTCAAAATTGTTCTGCTTGCGAATCTGTCTGTAATCATTCTCAGTAAAACATTCTACTTTCATGAAGTGAGTTTCACAGTCAGTATGAATCAACTTCAATACTAGTTTGATACCAGTGCTAATAACTGATGTTGATGAGTGTTATCATTTAGCTAGAAACCTACCACTTTAACCTGTTTTTTCATCCATTTTGACTTCCAGAAAAATAAGTAACCAGTTACCCGAGATGTAATCACACGTTTTCTGTTAAATCTAACCATAATAAATTCATTTTAAAATATTAATATCACGTTAAGAGTACTAACACTCGGTAATTCGCTGGTTTGTTCACAGATACATTTCTAGTTATCTTTTGTCCCTACTTGACATCAGTTGGAAGATGAATGACTGAAGTAGGAGAAGTGTACCCCTGAGCTCTAAACCACTGAGGGATTGGAAGGGTACATGTCCATCAAGAAACCTGACTGCGCTGAGCCTAAACCCTCACAGGCTCGTTGGTAGGCCCAGTAGAGCATATCTAAACTACAGCAAATAGGTTGTTCAGTGCTCCTAGACTTTAAACGTACCTGTAACTGATGATGAAAGTGGTGAAAGTACTCTGATATCAATGAACCTACACAAATCTACACAGGAGACTAATTTCTTTTGGTTTTCATTTAAAAAAAAAACAGCTAAGTATGGCGTTAATTAAGCATTTTTGTTTTATCATGAGCAAACAGTAGGTGTAAATAAGCGAGCTTGTCGTCTAGAAACAATCATTACATTAGGATAAGGCTGCGTTATCATCTGCCGATAATATTCAAAGCTGGTGCACATGTACGTTTCTCCTAAAAAAAAGTGATTCAACTGACTACCTCATGAAAACTGGTTCATCTCCTTCGAATGATCTTTAGACACATTATTTGTATTAAATGATCTTTGATGCCTCAGTGTGAAGATGCTCTTGTTCTCCATCGCTATTAATAAGAAACGACTCCGTGATAATGTAAGCACACAAAAATTTCACTACCTACCGACAAAAGTATACCAAAGAGTATGAAACTGCAGATAAATTAATCACTGGATGACTGGCACACATTGATATCGCTGGTTTAATGAACAAAATGGCAATGCCACCGCATGAAGTATCAAAACGTCACACTGCATTGTAGTCTATTGTTAAAATTTGAAGACAATAAACAGTACTCTACAGTGAGCTTAGATTTCATGATGGCATACTTAGTGAACAAAATAAATCTGCTAATTAATAGATAAATCCAGCAGGGGAAACTAGACTATAAAGATGCTGACGATTTAATGTTAAGTTGAGAACTGTTAAAGGTCTCGTGATCAATCTGTCTGAGTCACAAGATGGTCATTAATTATCTCAAGATTACACAAATTCCTTACTGAAGTGACCAAACCAACATGGAATCTAGTCACAGAGGTTATAGCTCACTCTTTTTAACTATCCAGTATCGAACTATAGGACTAAAGTGCTAGTATACTAGCATTTTGTAAAATACAAAACGGAGACGGAAATTATGAGACATTTCATGATTGTGTGGGTTCAAGTTACCACACCAACGTAACAAAACAATCGGCAACAGAGACTGAGGTATATTCAGGCAAATTAAAATTGGTATGAGAAGAGAGAGAACGATTAAGTAAGGGTTGGTGTTGAAAACGTTAGGAGTGGGTAAGTCTATCTGGAGCACTATTGTCGAGTTTGAGTTATGTTACCGATGAATGAGCTTCAAACGACATTAGCAATAAATATGCTTTAAAGGATCACGAATTGCTTAGAGTAATACTACATTTAGTTAAATGTTAACTAATTTCACTTTTGTTTGTTTCATTTGTTCATTAGGAAATTTAAAAGAATCACTATATCATCTAACGATAAATTATCATATGATTATTTGATCATAACAACCGGACTACAGTATCATGCCAGCTGTCCAGTCAATAATACAGAAGATATATCGAAAGAAAGGGCTGACAACTTCACCATTTTGGTCAATCAACAATCTCATCCTATTGATGGTGGTGACATTGATCGTATGAGACGTCGATTTACCAGTAAATTTCAACCACTTACTATTACCAACCACCACCTAGAGTATTGTTATCATTATTATTATTGTCCCTAGTTTGAGCCTCAGTGGGAATAACAACACTTAATGGGAGGCAGATACATCCAGCTGATGAATCCCAAATAGGACGAAACGCGCATCTTGGATTCCACTGAGTGCCGCTGTCTATCCATAATATATTATTATTACGATCATTATTATTTAGTCTTTTAGTTAGCTACAAGCTAAATAACATGTTCAAGATACTGTTACTGGAATTTTTGGTCCTTTCCATTTTTTTGAATACAAGTGAATTGATTATTCTCTATTGGCCTATAAGCTGCTTGTATAAATGGCTCAATATTGTCTGCATTTAGATTTATATCTTACATTTGACTGTACTTATTAGTGGAACCCTAAACGTATATTTCGTCTGATTTCGTACTCGCTAAGATGATATGCATGCAGTCTGGTTTCCGATGCTAACCACTGCCAGATTTATAATAGGTAAAACCCATGTGTCGTAGAGGTTGAGCAAGTCAACTATGTGAAAGAAAACAGGAAGCATCGACATTATGGAATAATAATGATGCGATTTGAAGATGTGACTACAGTAGTTCACTGGTAGACTAGATAGCGATTTTGAGATTTCAATGCAAAGTGTTGGGTTCAAGTCACGATATGAACACCAACACTTACTACTGTACAAGTACATTCGACCTACAAGTCCCAGCCAATGATTTCTAACATTTTCAGGAACTTCATCAGATTGGCTACACTTTCTGACACAACTTAAACTAGAAGTTTTAAAGAATTATGCAGTGTCTTAGTTTGGTCGTAATCATCACAAAGGAGTCCATGTCTACTTGTATCATGTGTCAAGACAGATGGTAACTTGGAGTTATTGGAACATATCTTAGCTACCCATTTCGATGAAGAGTTTGTATTTTATTTTAATGGACACTTGAATGTTGGACAGTGAGTCAAGGATTCGAATCCTGAGTCATCTAGGATATTTGCTCATTTCTTGGACAATCACCTTATGACACATTCGTACTCACAAATTTGAATGCTGATTACTTGTTCATTATTTGACACTAAATAAAAGAAATAAAGCAGTAAAGACTGCTCAAAGGTTATTTACCGTGAAATTTATTATACATTCACCTTTGAAATGTTCACAAGTAAATGTGCAATACTCTGAGCGCAAGAACTGTTGCAAGGCTGTGAAAGTAGCTATTTGTCTTATCTTTCAGAAACAAATCAGGAAGTGTGTATCCTCCTATCATGACTCAGCTATAATTAGTTACCTCGTCAACTGGTATAATTACCATTAATCTTATGCCAATGTTGTTCTACTTCAGTTATTATTTTTACACCTTTTGTACCAAAAGTTATACTTCCAGCTGCAAAAACGATTCTGTCGAAATTTGACTTTAAAGTGTCATATTTTAATTTCACGGTTTCATTTACATTGCTTTGATGGCATTAAGCAATGTTTGCATCAAAATCTTCATGATGTGCATAAAAAAAGCAAAGCATCCGGACACTCAAATATTCAAAAGTTAATTTGTCATCTGATCTGAGACTAAATGTTTTAGTGTCCATATATGCGCTTTCTAGATCAGACACTAAGTAATTGATTACTCCTATTATATTTAATTTACTCCTAGATCTATGGAGCATAACATTTGTCCACTTTTCACAGGAAATAATTGCCTTTAAGTTTAATCTTTTTTACTGTTATTATATTTGTTTCGATGTTTAAATAAAAGTAATTTATTAAAATGCTCCATATACGTAAACTTATTTCATACGCAGACACTTTATATAGATAAAGCATACATTCTGACTACTGGGAAGAAAATTATACATGCGGAGTGTGGAAACTAATCATTCAAGATAATTTATGTTGGTGATTTTAGCATTAAAAATAATCTCAGCTTTAAGTGGATGTGCTTCCATCCCCTCAGTTTGTCACAGATATCCATAAAATCCGAACAGTTATTTTCAAAGAAAAATATTCCCCTTTTTTAATAACTGTTAGCATATCCATAAAGCAAGAACCAAGTACAAAAGGCTTGAAATAGTGATAGTAATGATGAAGTAAAAAAATGAGTGTTGTGGTAGGTCTATTTAGCCTCTTTATCCACCCAATATGAATAGGGACAATAAATTACGTACACCGATTTTAGCATTCGCTTGCACAAGGTTGACAAAATAACGAAGAAACTTACTGAGTCCTTTGACTGTTACTGGGTCCTAGCAATCCTTTAGCTGCGAAACATATCCGTTTATTCATGAATTAGAACAAGACATGTGACTAAATTGCAACATAATGAATAATCAGGCAACATAGTGGCACTCGCTTAGGAGCCCACTCTTCCGATGCTCAAACAGCCATGTAATATTAATATCCCTCTTACCATGCTTATTTTGATATTTATTTATTGCTTCCTGTTTATTTATTACCATATAGTCATGCATTCAAACAAATCACAACCTAGTAACCTTTTCCTAATCAATGACGTTAATGATGTCCTACTGGTAATAAAATGGATAAATACTGTCTATCTACCATTGTATCATGAAGAACAGGTGAAAAATCCCAAAAACAGAAGATTTTCTAACAATGAAGAGTTAGATACTAGTGAAGAGGATGATAAACAAGCTGAACAACATAAAGAGAGTGAAGGTAAAGAAGTGAGTAGTGAATGTGTTTATACAAGTGAGGAAATAAAAGTAAAACGACAGCATCAACAACAACAACAGCGACAAAGACACAAATACATTGAAAATGAAGAAGAAATAAGATCACAGTCGAATAATTCATTATTTAATACATTTATTGTGGATGATAATACAGATACACATTATGTAGATAATCTGATGATTACCAATCTGATCATTGTTTACGGCTATACAATGGACGCGTACACTTGTATTACTGGCTTGTTGAATGCTGGTGTCAGTGGAAAGTGTATAATCATGATACAACCACCAAGGATGAAGAATTATGTAAGTCTTGTGAAAAAGATATTTACAATCCAACTATATATATATATATATATATATATATATATATATATATATATATATATATATATATATATATATATATCTGTTTCTACTGCCTAAAAGCCATAGGCCTGACTTCCATATTATTGATTCCGTGGTCAACAACACTTGATAAATAGTTCAACTTAACGGTTTTCGAGCACTTGGTCGTTTTTATGTCCTACACCTTTATTGGAGATGTTTGACAACCATATTCTGCTATATAGTACACTTAGTTTTTTGTAAACAATCAGAAATTTTACTAACGCTATGGATGGTGTGGTGTGACAACAGGGTAATAGAGTGTTGATATTCATGCACGGAATTTTTTGGTCACTGGCCAATCAAAACTCATTGGATTTCACAAGTAATTGAAATGACAGACATGCTCAAATACTTTTCTCCTCTTCTATTGTTGCATCAATCGTGAGTGTCAGATTTCATCACGACCGAAGTTAGATGAAGTGTTCAGGCTTCAGTAACAACTTATATCCATTGTCAGAAAGGTGGTTATGAAAACTAGGGAGCACAATAGGTAGCATCTGATGTTTAGAGAGTTGACTTTTTAGTCTGCTACTCCTTCGTCTAGAGGTGGTCACTGGTGTTTTGGTATCTCTGGCTGGAAGTTTTGGGTCTAAAGGACGATCCCGTTCAACTCTGCTCCTAACTGTTGCGTCATTCCCCAAACCATAGCTGCTTAGGGATTGTCGCATGTTTGAAAGGTACTCAACTTTCACTCTCAAACCAGTATCCTCGGTTCATGCTGCTGATCATATCTGACGATACAGAAATTATACAATATAAATTACTTCCACTGGTTTTATTTTAAAAAGATCTACTTTGTTCCTCTGTTAAACTTCTAGTACTTTATTTAATGCTGACAGAGTTTCCAGGAACTTAGAATTTACCTGGCCTACAGAGAAATGTATATATTCACTCAACCTCAATTTTATTTCAATAGCTCAAGTACTTTTTATCAATTTCTCATGTAATTATATAAAACATTTCAAAAATTTAACTTATTCGGACTCTTTCTATCCGTGTACACTTAACCTTGATGGAAATAAGCCATCAGGTTTTGATAGTTTACTCACTGAACAGAAAGTTCATGAACATATGCAGAATTTGAAAATTCGTTTTGGTTATGATTTTGTTTTGGACTATTGGAATAATGGTGATGCTGTGTCAATGTCGTGTAATATTGAAACTGTTACATTCAATTTGAGCGGAAAACAATTAACTATACCATGTTCAGTAAGTTAGAGTTTTTTTAAGGTAACTTGAAAATTAAACGTTTTTCTCTGGTTTTTATCCTTATCTACAATTGATTTCACCGAATTGTCGTACTAATATAGAGTAAGATGAAATGTTTCACTAATTTTTTTCGCATAAATTGAAATGGAAAGTCATATCTGTCGTTAACTGAGGGCAAAAGCCAAGCTTATGTGTAGAAACAAAGCAAAATAGAACCGAAGAAAGTTATACAATTCTTCGATTTACCATACTCTATACCATCTTATAGATGATAGAAGTCTTTAAGAAAGGGGACAAGGATATATATATATATATATATATATATATATATATATATATATATATATAAGTAAGGTGAATTGAAGGGTAACTTTGGATTTCGGTTTCATGCTTGTGACACCTATAAGTAAGCAGTAAGCCTAGGTCAAGGGTTTCCTGCCGACTGCCACCAGACATCCAATATAGTACCAAATCAACAGAATACTACGAAAAGATGAAGAAATAAATAAGCATGTATTAAAACAGTATTTAATGCCGTTTAAATTGAATAAGAAGTTTATTGGCAATCCGAATATATTACATAAATTTGTGAGGTTTGCATGTAAACAAGGCACTAATGTTTTTTGAAGAAGTATTGATTGAAATTGAAATTCACTCATCACCCTTGAACGCATTTGTGCAGTATGCAACGAGCCACAACTATTGTATGAGTGCTAATGATACTGCCTGTTTGTTTAAGCCTTAGTACTTGCAGCGGGTTTCAAAAGTGTGACCCATTAGCTGACGACCAAGATGAATTTTGTTTACTCTCCTGCAAAAATGTTTAGTTAGCTCATCAATATCACTTCTTTACACAGCTAAAACAAACAGTCAGAGACTTGACAGACTGGAATAACGATTTCCTCTGTTCACTTTAACGTTTAGCAACTTTATTATACTTCGTGCAGTATATTTCAGACAGGCAATAAGCTGAAACCGATCGCTTTTCAAAAAAAACACACCTGTATCGTCGAATAATGAAGTTTTATATATATATATATTCTCAGCGAACCTAGTCAGCAGCAGTGAATTCAATTTGCACATAAACTGAACAATGAAAACCTATTTACTCTGTTTGGGAGGTATGTGAACGAAGTAATTATATGCTGGAAGTTGCATATAGAAAGCTGACACTCAGTAATCCAAATGTTTCAGTTCACCTAAGCAATTCACTTGAAGAAAACTTATTAAGTTGGTTATGAGTTCAGTGAGTGGCAGCCTAATAGCTCTCATAATGAAAAGTTATACCAAGTGAGTAAGTAAGTGATAAGAAATATGATAACGCTACTAACGCAGTGGGACACGTAGAGTGAATGCGAATAGCGACTGTTTTTCCTCCATACCGTGTACTTCTCTGAGACATAAAGATATCAGGAGGCAAAGACGGGCCTGTAACTGTAAGCAAGACATTTAATTCGACCAAAATACATCATTTATATGCCGTTTTCATGAGCAGACAAAACCACTGGGTAAAAAGAGTCAGTTTGCTTATTCTGATTCATAAACTGTAAGATGAATTGTACAATAAGGTTTTTCTGACCACACGGCGACATGAAATAAAAAGTGAAATACAAACACTTTTACCTTAGCGGCTAATGACTGGAGATGTTGGTTTGCATATAAGCCTCTTCCTATCATTATAAAAAATGTCTTACAGGCGAAAAACTTTGAAAATTACTTTGTCCATCTTTCAAAAAGCTACGTCGCCAGGTATTATGAACTCAGTTCATGCGTGTTCTTGCTTCCTTGATGAAGTGATATGAGAAACGGAAAGTGCTACCTAGAATACCAGATTATTTTCCGAATCGCTTACAATTTTACCATAACAAATCAACCTAATATAATCATAATATCCTAAATCCATGTTTATACTACGTAACAATTGATACTGTTGAACATCATTTTGAATACACTAACCAAGTAATAGTCACTTATCGGTTTGAAAATTTTGTTGCTAAGTTTTTCGTAAAACTCACGTTACCATTATAGCTGTTCTAGCATACAAGGTGACTACCTTGTATTTATTTATTATTTATTTGTCCCTTGGATTCCTAATGAAACATAGGGCCTCAGTAGCAGGTCTCCATTCCACTCTGTTCTCTACAATCTTTTGAACGTCGCTCAACGACAGCCCACAAGCTCTCATTTCTTCCTCACACGATCTCCTCCATGTCACCATCGACACCGACGCCCAACTTGTCGTTTCCCATCGGGGTTCCACTCGACAGCCTGGCCTGGCATGTGATGTCCCCGAATAGTCTTCTCAGTGTATGCCCAATCCGTTTCCACCTCCTTCTGCATATTTGTTGAGTGATAAGTTCTTGGTTGGTTCGTTGACAGCCAGAGTTCCTTGTTGCTTATTATTGTGGCCATCTGATCCTCAGTATCGAATTAGCGTAGGCAGTTGTTGATGACTGTCTGTAGTTTGTTGGAAATCCCTTTCGTAACGCGCCTTGTATTACAACAATTTTATTTAGAATGAAGGATTTTACATACTACTATTAACTATATCTTTGGAAAATGTGAAAAAGGTTGATAAACATGACTCTTTATGATTTATCTTTTTACTTTCAAAGGGATTATTCTGTTTCCACATGAGGACTGTAGATATGGATATATTTAAAGGTAAATTTATTGATATAATAACTTTATTTTGAAACTTTCTGTATCTATTTGATATCGTGAAAATAAAATTCATCATGTGGGCGAATCCATGTAATTAATTAACAATTAGACTTTGATTTGAATGTATCCTGACAAACTACAGACTGAATGGTTTGGAGAAACCTAGACACCGAGTTAGTATAATTCATCGGACAAGGTGCATTTCTACTTGTGTAATACTGGCGTAGTATATTAGAATAAAGAAATAAAAAAACTATCCTCTTGTTCCTGAATTTAATGTCAGATTCATACTATTGAAAAGGATCTTCCTGGCAAGATCGAAATGTTGAGGGATAGTTCAAAACGTTTGTTGATTTTGTCATTTGTTCTAATATACTACGCCGGGATTACACAAGTAAAAATATATCTTATACGATGAATTAATCTTTGAGTAACAAACTGGGCGACACTGAGTCTGATTTCCCACATTAAAATGTCGTCCATTTTATATTATGATGCGAAAAACCAAATGAGCAATATGTATGATAAACCGAATAATCACGGATTGCTGTTGCTACGAGCAAAAATGAGGGAACCAATAAGGCTTTAACTTGAGAGTGTTATTTCTTAAAGAAATGGTTATTGTGCATTGCTCTCCTATACATCACAATCAGTCTATTCATTCAATCTAACTCCATAGAGAAATGTTTTTAAACGAGACTGACTGACTAATTATTAATTAAACAGGTTTTTACATATGAGTTTCATATCTAAGGTTTTCCCAGAAGTTAGTTTGGTTGGGGAATCGATCAGAGGAAAAAGGGATATTTAGAGATGTAGTATCCATAAGAAAGATAATGGTTTGACTGAAACTAAGCTCGATTTCAACCATTGGCTTTATGTATCATATATATCATTTTCAAATCAACAAGTCAGCGACCTAAAAGAGGCTATTTCGAATCTTGTCGTAACTTAGATGTTATGCAAATTTCAGTCTGTCTTGATAACTTGAGACTAACTTATTATATTTCATCAGTTACAGTGTTGTCTAAGAAAACTAGTCAGCTATTTTTCAGTTATTAAGTGTTAACGAATGTTCCGTAAGTTAAGAATATGCTTCTGAAACTTCGTACAGTTTACCACATCCAAAGGTTGTCATTCCACGTTCCTTTTAATTTCAGTCATTGTCCATTCAGTTTGAGTAAGAGTTAGTCTACCAATCAAGACTATTTTAGATGGTTCACTTCATAGTTAATTGATTTGGCCTTTCTCACCATATATTGTGATACAGATTGTTGTTTGTTTGATTTTTAACACAAAGGTATAGGTGTTTTGTTGACAGATACACTGTCATCTCCATCCGCAGACAGGTAAAACGCAGATATTCCATACAAATTGCTAAATCCATTCTAATGATAAACCTAAGAGTTAATTAGTTGTAATGTTCGTTAGTTGTCTTTGTTGAGTCTATGAAATGTTAATTAAATTATCAACTCTAAATAATTGGTCATAATGACCGCTTTTCAGTTTTTCTGCGAGTGAACAGAAGACAATATTCTTGTCACATCAAACTCTTTATTTTAGAATTAAAAACTACTTTTTTTCTGCCCAAAAGTTTTTTATCGAATATTATCGAAGTCAGTCTAAACCTACAACAATCCAAATGGATTTCGAGTAAACCTTTCCCTGGATATCAATATTCTAAACTACAGGAATCGCCTACCTGTTTCTAAACAGAATGGTTTAACAATAAGCCTTGTTATATATATTAACAATGCAAATGAAAGGTATTATAAGCAGTCTGTTATTTACGGTTGTTCCAGTTGGATGAACGGCTTTTAGTGCATGACATCTAGGTGACGAGGCATATTAAGTGTGTTGTAAGAAATAATAATAATTTTATTATGATGATTATCAGAGTTATACATTCAAGAAATGTATTTAAGAGAAATCACCCCTTCGGTTACTGCATAAGTACAAGAATATCATTCCATAGACAAATAAGTTACCAAATCATGTGACACGAGTGACTTTATTTACATATTAGTCTGAGCTATAACTTCAGGGAGTTTAATTCGTTAAACTTTTGCTGATTGGTGACATCATGGCTGAAAATTTTCGCTAACCGTCAGTAAATTGTTCTGTCTCTACTCAAATGGCCATTTAGTGATTTTATATCGTTACATCTCTATTTGTTTTTCTCATTTTTTGCCTTTAAGAATCTTGGTTACTTGAGTTGTTATGATTTCGTGCCGAATTCTTTTCCAAGGATATTAAGATAAACATATTAAAGTAGTTCTTTTCCATTGGTAGGAAAAGTATTTCTATTACATATGGCTCCTTGGAAGGTGGATGCAATTGCATCGTACCAACTAGCCAGTGGGTCAAAGACAAATACATCAACTGATTTATAATGTGATTTATCTTTTCAACAAATATGTGTACACATAACAAGGAACAAGGATAATTTGATGGGAAAATTGTTTTCCTAATGAGCTCCTCTTCAGGATCTATAATTATATCGTTACTATTATTAATGTTATTATTATCAGAACACAAACATGGTACAGCTACGGCACCAAGAAATGTATTACCCAAATAGTATAAAAAATATGAAGACATAAACGATGGGAAGTGGATAAGTAATAGTGAAAAAGTAATAAGGATAGCACGATTAGAAGAGCAGTTCAGTAAGGTACATTCAAAACAAAAAATTCTTTATTATTCAACAGCATAAGATAGGAGGAAGCTATAGCATGACCACCACTGGTTCCGATTCTGAGTCATATCTGATAACGTCTCAAGCGACTAAGTTGAGTGCTCTCTCGACCCCACCCACAGAGTCGTGATGTACCAAGAGATGCTAACGCGATACAACTACCCTCCGTCCCACGGCGCCACGTTTTACACTGATGACCCCTTCGCCTTTTTCCATTCACTCACAGGGTTAGCAAACAATGAGTGGTGTGGTAGCCGTAGGGACGACATGTGCGACATGTCCAAGTCACCGAAGCTGGTGTTTGTAGATGACTTCACTTAGTGAATGACGACCTTGTTCAGGCCCAGGCGCGAGCTGTCGTACCTCGAAATTGATTAAGTGGCATTCCCACAGTACACAAGCAATCCTATAGAAACAACGATGACCAAACACATAGAGCTGTCGTATATCCCCAGCTCGGAGAGGACAGGTTCCCCAGGAGTGGAGCAGGACTGCCCGCACCACTGACACCGCCAACAGCATTCACACAACTACCCAGATACACTTCCTTTTCCATCCTCCAAAGCACATACCATACTTACAAACACTAATCGCCAGCTGATTAAGTGTATCTTGAGTGGCCTGTATGCTATCGCAAAGGGAGACGATATCGTCTGCATATTCAAGGTCGGACAGCCGTTGTCTGAATATTAGATTTACACCAGCATCAGACAATTCCTTCAGAGCAGCCTTATGCCACTTATCATCGATGGCAAAATGAAAGAGAAGTGGAGAAATTGGGCAAGCTTGTCTAACCCCACTACTGGTTTAGATCAATGGAAACAAGTGGTTGTATACCCCCAGTCTACCTCAGATGTTATTATATTAGGGTTTTCAAGATTATATTGAATTTCTCAGGCACTTTTCTCCCTAATAGAGAATTCCAAAGTACAGTTCTGTTCAACGAATCGAAGGCAGCCCCAATGTCAAGAAATACTACGGATGTTGGCCTGTAATACGTATGGCAATGTTCAGTTATCTGGCAGAGGGTAAACCTATGATCAATGCATCCACGACCTAAACGAAACCTGGCCTACTCCTTGTTAATCATTTTCTCACGCATTTTGCATAGTTTGCGAAGTATGATAGCAGCCAATATTTTCAACGAGACTAGTAACAAACTAATACCCAGAAGATTATCACATGCATAACGTTGACCGTTTTTAAAGATGGACACAACAACGGCTTCATTCCAGAGTGATGGATTACTCTCAGTCTGGCATACCTTCTCAAACAATCAAGTCATTTCTCTGATTTGGATGAGCTGGAACAGCTCCCGACTGTTGCGATATGCAGCTGAGCACTTTCTGACCACCAAGACTGATGGTCCCTGCGTAAGTGTTGTGTACTGTTTCACGTAACAGACTTACGCAAACCGTTGAAATTACTATCCACCGGAATAGTCTGGCGTGCGTCAAGTCGTTGCAGGGATCTCATAGAGACCCAGTGTTTATTAGTGTGAAGTTCGTCCAAACTACAAGCGGCTTCACTCGCCATTCTTAGGGCGTTTTGCAAGTGCAGCAAATCACGATAAACTGATTTTAAGCATCATCATCTTCAGTGGTTTTTGTATTACCTGTATTAGTTACCTTATACCATGTTGTCATCATCCAGACGGCGAAGGTAGAAGAAAATTTGAGGACTAGATTGACCGACAGGAAAGTTATTAGATATCCACCGAATTCAGTTTAATCGCTTCTCCACTTACAACATAACCATCATATTCATTCTCTGTACAATTAGGAGGGGTAAATATCATTTGTGGAATTTTACTATTTTTATGGCTATATTTTATTGAATAGTACTTACGACAATTAGTTTGTAATTTCTCGCGGTATTTGAATGAATCAATTCTTAAAATATTTCTCTTATTTCACTTATGACAACTATTTTAGCTAAATGTTTTTTGATATTCATTTTATCATTCAGAAGGGTCTTTAGACTGATAGTAAACAATATGTGGAATCTTCTCATTGATTTATTGTTTTATCGACCTCCTCATAAGACACTGTAAGAGTAGAACTTAGTCAATAAGGCAGGAAGTAGTTCCATACTAGAAATGCCTTTACTGAAAAAACTCTGTCCTTATAATCATTTAACGTAGATTAGAACTAAGGTTATTAGTGGTTGGTCTGTGCAAATTTATCTGAAAAAGAAGCTGAACTGTTCAGGCTTACTTAAATATGCATACAAGCGTGATTAATTCCAAATGATGTATGCTTTCCAAAGTGAATAAAGTGAATTCGGCACGATTTACTGGTTT